GACTAAAACCAGGAATACAGGAAAAGGAACAAGTCTGTTAGGGTAGATAATGTGTTCAGTTTTGCACAGGCTGCTCTTGAAATGTCTGCCAGGGATCCTGGTAGAAATGCCCAAAAGGCAGTTGGAACAGCGAATGGAATGCACGAGTGAGGTTGGGGTTTTAAACACAGATCTAGAAGCCATCAGCAGACATTTGATAGTTCAACCAACATTTGCTTTTCAGTGAACATCCTGGGCCAAATACTAGGCTAAGGTACTTCACTGCCTTATTTCATTTAGGGTTCCTAAACACTTCCATGTTGGGTGGGTTAGGAGGAAAATAAATCCTAACTCAGCCTTCCCTGTCTGTCTAATGCAAGTCAAATGTGTTCAGTGAAAGCATAGAAGTTTAGATGGTAATAAATCTGCTGAAAATGATTTAGGTCATGATCTGCTTGTTTTGGTCCAAACTAAGTGGTAGATTCAAAAACTCACCTGCAATCAATTTCTGATGATAATCTGTAGATATCCTATCATAGTTTTTCTTTCTGGGTAAAAAGTCCGACATCAAAATTCTCATGGACTGAAGTGTATTCATTCGAAGCACTTTCCATACAGAATCCATCCTGGCCTCTCTCCACATAGTTTGAAAATGGTTGCCTGCTTCCAGACACCTGCTCTGTCCTGAGTCAATACTGGATATAACTCACATTGCAAGTTAGCACAGGCTTCAGACAAGCCTAGTAGATAAAAGGGGGGCTCTTTGCATTCAACAAGAAATTAGCACAGCCTTCACTTGGCAGAACTATATATTAAAATGGTGATTTAGGAGAATTTTCAAATGTCCCTCTTTCTTGTGGATCTCATCCTCTGCTTCAGGAATAAACATTCTTTTGGACAACCCAGGCTTGTTCCTGGGGCTTGGTGTGTAATTATTTAATAGCCCCCCCCCCTTTCACTCTCAAGGGTCCCTTTTTGGATGATAAATTCTATTGTTATCTCTTACAGGGCTTTTTCGAAGATATATTATTTGCATTAATCTAAGAAAAATTACCATACCTTTCCTCCAGCAGAGTCTTTGGTACCCTATCTTGAAGTCATTGAAGTATTTCTTCAGAGCAATAATTAAGAGCCATATAAACTAATGAATAACTCCCTACTGCTCTCTTATTGGTGAAAGCAAATAAGGTAACTTTATAAGACTCATCTAATAGAACAGCCCTAGGAGGGAAACATGTGGACTTCGTGTTTATGTTTGCAAAAGCAATTCCCAATTATTTTATTTATTTGTTTTTTAAAGTTTATTGATTTAGTTTGAGAGAGAAAGCATGAGCAGGGGGAGGAGTAGAGAGAGAGGGAGAGAGAATCCCAAGCTGGCTCCAGGCTGTCAGCACAGAGCCCACTGCAGAGCTGGATCTCACAAATGGGAGATCATGACCTGAGCTGGAATCAAGAGTTGGACACTTAACCGACTGAGTCACCCAGGTGCCCCATTTCCCAAACAATTTAATTAGTTTTGCCACTTAATATGAGCAGAGTATGAACCTACATTGAATAGCAAGGGAATGGAGACCTAGAGAAATCTAACTCTGTGCTTTCTGGAATGCCATTCCGTGCCTGAATTCTGAGAACTCTGTGGTCACATACAGCTTTTACAGACTTGAGTAACCTCCCTTCCTGTTCTTCAGGATAAGGTGTCCTGTAGTGTAGCAACTTGAGGGCAGTAAGATTATCAAAGCATCACCAGAGATGCTTTGAGGGTTACTGCGGAAAACAGGTTTCCATGGCGCAGTGTGGCTGCTGGGAGGAGCCACATAGCACAACCCCAGTCATTCTCTCTGGAGGGAAGGAGAGCCAGCTTGTTAGGATAAAGCCAGGCATCCTTCTGGATAGACTCAAGGTATCTGAGACAGATGGATTATCAGGTTGGGCCAGATGGGTTCTTACGGAGTCTCATAATTTGGGGGGAGAGGAAGGACAGTAGGCAAGGATGATCTACCTATTTGCTAATATTCTTTTCATCTGAAGGTACTCTAGCCTGAATCTAGCTTATGGTCTTTCCTCAGCTACCTGGTTTGCTATTTGCAGCCTAGTTCTGAGGGAAGAAAAGTTCAAAGCAAAGCAAAGGAGCACAGGAATGGCTTGCCATCCAAAAAATGTGCTTGGAGAGCTCTTATCTTGGGGGCAAATGCACAGCAGCTAAGGAGAGAACAGAGCCATGAAACCGGAAGAGAACCATGTCATGATGCTTGTTTTGAAATGGCTTTTCCACAGTCTTTCACCCAAATGTCCTAATTGGGGGGTGGGAGCAAATGGAGTACAGGATAGGAAATGCCACAGCTTTGGAACTGGTGCCATTGAGGGAGTGATGAGAATCAGCTGAGTGTCACTCCTGCCGGAAGGTGTGGCTAAAAGACCCAGAACTCTGACAGGTCAGTCACAAGTACACTCCACAGATCTTGTAACCCAACTCCCTCATTTTACGTCGGATCTTTCAGGATGTCACTGAACTGCTAGCCTGGCAGGATCACCAAGCCACTTTAGTCTAAAAGATTTAAAAAAACATAAACCAGGAGTTATTTCTCCCCACTGTGAAGAACTGTCATGAGACCTAAATGAATGACTCTGGAAACAAATTGCAGTACTTCCTGTCTGGCCAGGGAGCTTGCTCTCCACAGTTGCCCACTGCCCCTAACAGGGAGGCCCTGTTAGAGGCAGTGAGGCTGAAGCTTTAGGATCTGTTCCTTAATTTTGTATTCTTTTGCTTAAAGACCACTCCCCACCCAATTTTATAAGCTTTAGGTCTCAGAAAACCTGAATCTTGGTCTGCCTGTCCTACATGGTAAATCTAACTATCTGGTGATCCAACATGCTCGCAATCAGAAGAGGAGACCAAGTAAGGCTGGGGATGGCTCAGCTTGGACTAGGCTGGGAAACAGGCTGGGGCCTGTAAAGCAGCTGGGGCAGGATAACACTGAGGGCTGCTGGCTCATGTAATGTCTCAACCCTCTACCCGCTCCTTGTTTCCACCCCCAGTTCCTTGCCCAGACCAAACTTGTCTTCAGGTCTACAGACCCAGGATTTTAGATCTAGGGAAGGCCTTTGTCATCATCCCTCATTCTGCAGGCTCTCAGAAGGGCCTGACCCCTTGAGGTTTGTGAACTCCCCTCCCTGCAAAGTGAAGCCACAGCGTTGGCCAATACTTTAAGCAGGAAGACTAGTTGGTTCACTTGTTAGATATAATCTGCCTGCTGTGTCCCTGCATCGGTGGAAACCAAAGAATGGTGTCCACCTGTCTAGGCAGTCAATAAAACACAAACCAGTGCAATTCTGCACACCTTCACTTAGTGCCCATTGTGAGCCAAGCTACTCCCTGAAGGGACAGAAAGCTGACAAGATATGATGCTGGTCCTCAGTATTTATATCAGAGAACAGGGTGTGAAAAGTTTGCCCCTCATTTGCTATTTATAGCTGCCATTTAGTCAGCACCTGCTATTCAGCGGGACGTTTTATTATACATATTGTCTCTACTTTGACCGACAACTCTAGAAGGTAGATACCATTATTCTCACTTTGTGCATGTGGAAACTGAGGTGCAGAGAGGTTATGTGACTTCTCTAGGTTAGGCAGCTGGGGCATCGCTCTTCTTGTTAGGGGCTCATGGAGGCTGAAGGAGAGCATGTGTAATGTCAGATGAAGGCAGAAAGATGATGCGCATGCCTCACCTTCTATTCTCTGTTTCACACAAGCCTGTATTGAAGTCCCAGCTGTAACACTCTGCATGGGTTTGGGAGAACTGCTCTCTGTCTTGCTTTCCTCCTCGATAAACTGGACAAAATACTTCATAATATAGTTGGAAAGATGAAATGAGATAATGTGGACATGGCTCAGTTCCTGGCACTTTCGGGTACAAAATGATTCACTTTGGTACAAAATGCTCATCACATGGATCTGCATGCCACTTCCTCAGAAATTTATGTTTTTACTAAATTGTTGCCTTCTCAGGGAGGCCTTCCCTGGCCACCCTATCTAAAAGGCCAACCCCATTCCAACTCTTCATACCTGTAGCCCTACGTTATTTATCACCAACTAATATGTTACAAATTGTACTTATTTATCTTTGTTTTTTTTTCATCTGCCTCCACCTACAAGAAGGTAAAGTGTTTGAGACCAGGAATCTTTGTGTTATTTCTGTATCATCCCAAGCACAAATATATATTGGTTAAAAGAATAAATTAAAAACCAAACAAAAACCCCCTCTTTGGCTTAGAAAATTGGCTTTTAATTTGACTTTTTCCTATTTGACCCTGGGTACATTACTTAAAATGTCTAGGCCTCAGTTTCCTCTTCTGTAAAGGGGGAAGAATGATGGTATCACTTTTAAGACTGCTAGGATAATTAAGCGACATGCATATAAAAACTGGCACATAGCAAGTGCTGGATAAATGCTTGCTATTATTATCACTTGAAGTATTCTGACCAGTTATTTAAATCGTCTTTCAATGTCGCCCAGAGCTTTTAGGATAGAAGAGGAGGCTAAAAGCCAAGGATACCTCTGCGTTTTCAGCCCAGTGATCCCCCTTGGTAGACCACTGACAAAGAGTCAAAATGCTCAGTGTTCTCACTGCAAGGCTGCTCACGTGTCTGGATTACCATTACCACGTCACTGAGGAAGACAGCAAACTGAGGCTTGGCCAAGATCAAAGGACTTGTCCAAGATCACTCACCTCTAAAACCAGGGCATGCTGAACCCAACCCCCCATGTTGGGCCTCCTACGATTGTATTATCCGCTGCCTCTCTTCCAAGCTCTCTCTGCAGTGTGGGTTGGAGTGGCGGCTGTGAGCTCAGGTGCCCTGTGTTCACCAGGCTTGTCACTTTCATCTCCCGCAATACACTGAACTTTTCTAACTCCGTTTTCCCGCACGCAGAACGTGGGAAATAAAGCCCACGCCTCACAGCTTTGCGTTCAGGATCACAGGCGAGGAAAACTCTTCGAAAACTCCAAAGCGCCCTACGAATAACCTCCGCAACAGGCATTCACACTCGAGCTCCCCCACTTCCCAGTCCCGGGAGACGCTCCCGTCTCCGCCCACCTCCTAGGCGGCGCGGCGCGGCGCGGGGTAGGAAGGAGGATTAACCCCTGGGCGCCTGTCTGGGCGTTTCTCCAGGCGGCCGGGGAGGAGTTCCGCCTCTCGCTCCCGCCCCGCCGCTGGGCTCCCTGGCGCCCGCACTCGCGCTCTCGGAGTCCCTCTCCCGCCCAGGCCCCTGCTGGCTGCGCTCCCTCGGTCCGGCACGGCACGCGGGCGGCCCGCCAGGATGCAGGCCGCGCACAAGGAGCACCTGTACAAGCTGCTGGTGATCGGCGACCTGGGCGTGGGCAAGACCAGCATCATCAAGCGCTATGTGCACCAGAACTTCTCCTCGCACTACCGGGCCACCATCGGCGTGGACTTCGCGCTCAAGGTGCTCCACTGGGACCCTGAGACAGTAGTGCGCCTGCAGCTCTGGGACATCGCAGGTGAGCAACCGGGGAGGAGGCCAGGGCCGGAGGGCCTCGAAGCGGGTCTGCAGGCCCCGGGGCAGCGGGTTGAGGTCTAGTGTAGTCCGGGGCGCTGAGCCGCAAGAGACTTTTTCTGGTGGGTTGAAAACTTGTTTCCAAAGAAAACAAAAAAGTTTTTTTTTTTTTTTTTTTCTTTCTCTCTCTCTCTCTATCTCTCTCTCTCTCTGGCTGAAACTTCAAGTGCATTCCCTGGCGCTTTGGGATTGTTGCTTGAACACCCTCTCACACCCTCCCCTGGGATCACTCGACCCAGCGCGGGCCCCCGAAGGGACCCAGAGAGAGACTATCTGGAGTTGCATTCAGTTCTCCCTCTCCAGCTCTTTTTCCGGGCGTGGGCAACGCTGCGGGTGAGGAGGCCCTTAGTGTCATGCCAGCCACCAACGGGGGAGTCTTCAGACCTGTTAACAGCGGGAACTAGGAGAGTTCCAGGCTAGAGGGGTTTACTCACTGCTGTTTTTAATTGCTCCTTGCTCTTGCCTCCCTCTTTACCCTTCAGTCAAGAGAGTTTGAGGTTCTCAGCTTTGGTGAAGCCAAGGATCTTTGTGTGTATGTACTGGGGGCAAAGTATTATTTCTCTCTTTCTCTGACTCTCTGTGGTCTATGAAAAGGACACTGTGCACATACCTTAAGGTCACTTTTGTCAAAGAGTCTATGACATTAGTCATTTCTTTCTTTCATTTTTTAAGTTTATTTATTTTGAGAGAGAAAGTGCAAACAGGTGAGGAGCAGAGAGAGAGGGAGAGAGAAAATCCCAAGCAGGCTCCAGTCTGTCAGTACAGAGCCCATCCAGGGGCCACCCGGGCATCCTGGCCGTACGATTTCTTGATTTGGCCTTAAAGTTTTCAGTGAGAAATCTGCAAACTGTGAAGCTTCATTACAATGTTTGAAACCAGAATTTGATTCTGAAGGTTTGTACCCAGAGCTGGGCAGGGCATTAGGCAAATGTATGTCTGCTCCAAGTGTGAGTTCTCGGACTGAAGCTGTTTGCAACCTGGGCATGTCCAACCCCTGATTATAGATCCTGGCTCTGCCACTCACTAACCTGCTCAGTGGCTTCAGACAAGTCCCTTCAGCTCGGTTGAATCCTTGTTAAGTGCAAAGGAGTTGGACATGGCAGCTCAGGAATCTTCCTGCTCAGTTTTAAGGTCCTCTGGGATTCGTTGTTGAACAGTCCCACCTCACCTCTGACTGTTCCATGGTCTGTGGTACCAGGAGTCTTTGTAAGTGCTGGACCCAAACCCGGCACTTGTCCTTCAGAAAATAGCTTCATTTTTAGCTGGTGTATTTGACTGGAAACACTTTATCATGACTCGAAGCAAGAACAAATGTGGAAAATTTTTGAAAGGGCACTTCAAGTTCTGGGGACTGCGGTGCCTCTTTAATCATGAGCTGCCAAGTCTTATGATAAACCTTTTGGCATGTGAACAGATTCATGCATTTGAAGTCATCTTGAGCAGCTCCAGTAGCATGGGGGTTATCAGAGACCGGAAGATGTTACCAGCCACTATCTGATTGGGTTTTTCATCTAGAAAAGCCACACTGTGTCTCTGCACTCGGTTGCTGCATTTTTTGGTGTGTGAAAACTCTTCTGGCTGTACTGGAGTATCCAGGACTCAAGTTTAGAATTAGCTTACTGTTTCAAAGGGGATATAGCTATAATTTAGACTTTTGTGTCAAATGCAAATAAGGATGTGACATCAGGCATGTTATATAATGTCCATGAATCTCAGTGTCCCCACCTAACAGAGAGGAGAGAAAGGTATAGTGATTAAGAGACTAAATTCCAGAGTCGAACCGCTTTCGACTGAATCCCTGTTTTACCCCCCCATGTCCTGGGCGATTTTATGTTAAGTTTCCTAACCTCCTGATTTCAGCCGACCCATCTGTGAATTAGGCAGAATGCTTTCTCCCAATAAATGGCAAATGAGCAAACAGATGCCAGCTAAAGGTGACTAAAGTCTCCACTATCTAGGAGAGCTGCAAGGATTACTGTTATACTACCATTTTTTTTTTGGACCATGTATAAATGCTAGGAAGAAGGACATGATATAAATATGTGGACTAAATCTTAATAAATGAGGGGGCCCCCCAGATGCTCAGTTCATTAAGCATCAGACTCTTGATTTTGGCTCAGGTCATGATCTCAGGGTTCATGGGTCTCAGCCCAGCGTCCAGCTCTGTGCTGACAGTCTGGAGCCTGCTTGAGATTTTTGTCTCTCTCCCTCTCTCTCTCTGCCCCTCCCTGACTCATGCTGTCTCTTTTTTCTCTCTCTCTCAAAAAAATAAATAAGTAAACTTTAAAAAATTATAAAAAAGTAAATCTTAATAAATTTGGAACATAGAATCTGTTCCAAAATGCCCAGCACCATCTTTTAGCTTTATCAGCATTACAACATGCTGACATGAGCAGCTGAAATCCCAAGTTTAGAAATGCCCCCTGAGCCATGGTTCTGGACTAACATGGCTGTGGAGGCTCTAGTGACAGAGGTCTGTGTACATAAGAAATATGGGGCGCCTGGGTGGCGCAGTCGGTTAAGCGTCCGACTTCAGCCAGGTCACGATCTCGCGGTCCGTGAGTTCGAGCCCCGCGTCGGGCTCTGGGCTGATGGCTCAGAGCCTGGAGCCTGTTTCCGATTCTGTGTCTCCCTCTCTCTCTGCCCCTCCCCCGTTCATGCTCTGTCTCTCTCTGTCCCAAAAATGAATAAAAAAACATTGAAAAATAAATAAATGTTAAGAAATGTAAGAGGTCTGTGTACGTATAGTGGTGTGTAGCAGGTCAGTAGGGAACTTCTTCCCAGAGCTCTGATGTTCAGTGGGAACCTGTCTGTGTCAGCCTCCAGCCCAGAGACCCTGTGAGCTGAGTTATAAGCTGGGCATCAGGCACAGCTGGTTGTGGGGAACCTGTGCCCTGTGGGAAAGGATGATAGGAGCATCCTGGTGACATGTTTCGTGCTACATCAATAGCCCTGTGAGGAGTGAATTCATATGAAGTCCAGCCTCAGTTGCCCACCCAGATTCCAGTCAACTAACTGTACCTCACAGCACCTTCAGATCAGCCTGTCTGTCCAAACACAGGAATGATTCCCTTTCCTCTTTATTCTCAACTCTGCTATGTGTGTGGAAAGAAGAGGTGAGACTAAAAAGTGAACGGTGAGCCTCACTTTGAGCTAGTTAGGAGTGTGGATGAGATAGAGGGGATGGCCCTGTCTTGATAGAATATCAGATCCATCTGCTATAGAGGGGATCTTTGCTCATTAGACCTTTGATATTCATTTGATTCAATGCCAAGGTGGGCCTTATTTATATGTCCAACTAATTTCCATCATATATCTCTTATAGCCACTTCAGCTGGCCAGTCTGTTCCTGAAAGACTCCAAAATACTTCTCAGGAGGCACCTGGCTGGCTCAGTTGGGAGAGCATGCCACTCTTGATCTCCAGGGCATGAGGTCATGAGTTGGAGCCCCACGTTGGGCATAGAGATTACTTAATTAAAAAAAAAAAAAAATTGCCTCTCAGGGCTTGTGAAGTAGGCCTTGACACCAACATGGTAAATTCCACAAACCTTGTAGGGAATAGCAATCACCCTGAATCCCAAAGATTCTACATAGAGGAGCAAGTGGGTCAACTCTGGGTTCCAAAGCTCTTGATAGCATCAGGAGAAATTAAGTCATTTTGCCCAAGGCCACCTGCCTAATAAGTGGGAGAGCTGGATTTGGTACAGTTTTGTTTGACTTGGAATCAAGCCATGTTCTTCATGACTGAAGCCCATGAGTCCCTGGGACATTGCTGGCCCATTGGGGTTATACCTTCCTCTCCTTTACAGGTATTCCTTCCTTAGTAAATAGGTTGTCCTTGCTTTCTCCTTCCTATTTCTTTTTATTTTCTTTTCTTTTTTTTTTATTAACGTTTTTATTCATTTTTGAGAGGTAGAGAGAGACAGGGTAGGAGTGAGGGAGGGGCAGAGAGAGAGGGAGACACAGAATCTGAAGCAGGTTCCAGGCTCTGAGCTGCCAGCACAGAGCCCGATGCGGGGCTCGAACCCATGAACCATGAGACCGTGACCTGAGCTGAAGTCAGACACTTAACTGACTGAGCCACCCAGATGCCCCTTCTACTTCCTATTTCTAACATATTTTTGGATATTAATCAGAACCACTGTGCAGATAGAAAGAGGAAATGCAATGAAAATCTATTTCTGAAAATTTAATTCTTGGTTGTAAGGTTTTTAAAATAGATTTATCAAGAAAAAAGTAAATAAAAGGTTCACACTTGAGACTCTTCTATTTCTCTTCAAATCTGATACTGTAATTACTCCATTAGCATTTTAAAAGAGAACTATACAATTTTGTCTAGAACTCTTAACGTGCTTTGGGACCCAGCTGCAGGAATTGAGATAGCCATAGTAATAGTAGCTCACATTTCATACGCATTTATTCTTGCAGTTGTCCACACATTTTAATTTTTAATTCCCCAGTAAAATAGCTGATTAAGTGGAAGTGCTAGAATTTAAAATGTGGCCATGCTCAGTTCACCATCTAATGGTTCGTGGGATCGAACCTCACATTGAGCTCTGCACTGACAGCACAGAGCCTGCTTGGGATTCTCCCTCTCTCTCTATGCCCCTCCCCTGCTCATGCACACACACACACACACACACACACACACACACACATACACACACACACACACATTCTCTCTCTCTCTCTCTCTCTCAAAATAAACAAATAAATTTAAAAAAATATTAAAAAATATTTGGTCATGGAATCTAGTACCCAGTCTCCTAACAGTTTTGCTCAATTTCCCACAATTTAAAAATAAAACACTTTCAACATACTACAAATATATTTTAAAAATATACCTGACATTGAGTAAGCAATGAAACCTGGCTGGACCTCAGTTGCCCTGTCTGTAAATGGCCATTGTTCCATTTTCCTGTGACATCACGTATTTGTATTATGTTATATCCTGCAGTTCCTGTCAGCTCTAGTAGTTTTTCACTCTTCCCAGGTTGTATGTGGCAGCATATTCCAGCTTCTTTCCTTGCTAGGTTTGTGACTTGGGCAGGTCACTTAGCTTCTGTGCCTCGGTTTCCTTTCTGTAACTGGGGACAATAGCAGAGCCTGTACCTTAGAGTTGGTAAAAGAATGAAATGGGTTAATTTGTGTAAAGTTGTGCCTATCTGACACAAAATCAATGCTAAATAAATGTTAGCTATTGCTCTTGTTTTTTTCTATTTTTTTTTTTAATTTTTTTTTTCAACGTTTATTTATTTTTGGGACAGGGAGAGACAGAGCATGAACGGGGGAGGGTCAGAGAGAGAGGGAGACAGAGAATCGGAAACAGGCTCCAGGCTCTGAGCCATCAGCCCAGAGCCTGACGCGGGGCTCGAACTCACGGACCGCAAGATCGTGACCTGGCTGAAGTCAGACGCTTAACCGACTGCGCCACCCAGGCGCCCCGTTCCCAGGTGCCCCATTTTTTTCTATTTTTTTTTCCATTGTATTTATTTTAGAGAGAGAGAATCTTTTTTTTTTTTTAATTTTTTTTTCAACGTTTATTTTTGGGACAGAGAGAGACAGAGCACGAACGGGGGAGGGGCAGAGAGAGAGGGAGACACAGAATCGGAAACAGGCTCCAGGCTCTGAGCCATCAGCCCAGAGCCCGACGCGGGGCTCGAACTCACGGAGTGCGAGATCGTGACCTGGCTGAAGTTGGACGCTTAACCGACTGCGCCACCCAGGCGCCCCTAGAGAGAGAGAATCTTAAGCAGCTTTCACACTCAGTGAGGAGCTCAGCGCGGGGCTTGATCCCACGACCCTGGGATCATGACCTGAGCTGAAATCCAGTCGGACATTCAACAGACTGAGCCACCCAAGGTGCCCCTACTCTTGCTTTTAATTGTTATTACAAAATACCTTCACAACATTTTCCTGATTGATCTTCCCAGCATCGCTGAGGGTATAGACAGATCAGGTGGTACTAAACTAAATCTATTTTATATCAGACAAGATGAAGAATCAGAGAGTTAAGGGACTGGTCCAGGGTCGCAAGAGTTAACAAGGGGCAGAGGAGGAAAAGTAGCTGAGGAAAAACATTTCCATCAGGGCACATCTCTGCTAACTTTCCGTGCATATGCTGTGTGACAAGGAAGCACTGGAGGACATTAACTATCCAACAGGCAGAGCGATGGAAGGAGGCAGCATGGGCCTAGAATCAGGAGCCCCAGGACACTGAATCCCCACTCCAGTGGCCATGAGTGGCACTGGATTACAGTGCTGTGTTGTTTCAGAATTTATAAAATGCTTCCACATTGTGACAGTCAGTTGGGGGAAGGTTTTGGACTTTACTATCTCTTCAGTGTCAATTTTCTAAAAAAAAAACCCTGTAATTCTCCAAGGAAGTTTAGAAGAAAGGTCTTAAATATCAACATAATAGATCTAGAAATGTAGAAAGAGCTAAATTTGGCAACCATCATGTCAAGCAAAAAACAAAAAATAAAAATGCATGTCGAGTCTGGGCCACATTCTGCTGGGCAGTTTATTGCTTTGTTTCTAACCTGGCTAATTATAAATTTTCTAAATACCATGTGGACTAACATGGTGTGTGCTTACAGGTAAGCGGTATGTGCACTGAGCAAGATGGTGAACTTTCTAAGTAGGGTGAATGATGTGTGGGGAAAGCACCTCAGGGTTTTTTACAGGGCATTCACTAGAATCACCATCTATCACAGACACATGAGCATTAGGCATGTGGGACATGTCCACTCATCTAGGTTTTAGAGGACTGGTTCTGACAGGAGAGCACATAGCAGTCTGACCAAGGAAAACCAAGTCATCTGAAAGAAGGAAGGGATGGGGAGGAGCAGTTCTAATGTGTGTGGCTTCAGCACAAATGTTTATGAAATGCCTGGTATGTGTTAGGTACTGTTCTGGGTGAGGGGAAAACAAAGAGGGATAAAGTATTGAACAAGACCCAATTCCTGACCTTAAGAAGTTCACAGTTCAGTGGGCATGATGGCACCAAAGCAAATCACAGTAACAGCGAGTGAACTGTACCAATATAGGCTACTCCAAAATATTCTGGTGGTGCAGATGGGGTCCTACCTGCACCACATCCATCCACTCTCTGAGCTTAAATTCAAGCAGGCTGGATAAAGCCTCTAACTAGTGGGATGTTTCCTGTACCCTTACCTACCACCAGCTACTCCTTGTGAGTGATTTCAGGGCTGTACAGCTTGAAGCAGAAGTTCATCTTCTGGCTCTCGTCAATTCTGTCTCCTTCTCTTGAGAATCTTAGGCATTCCCATGGCTTTAAACTCCATGCAGACAACTCCAAAAATGTGCGTATAACCTTGACTTCTCATGACCTTCAGACGTACAGTTCTGTCTTCATGCCGGGCATCTCCTTTATGATATCTCACACATATTGCAAGATTAGTATGTCATAGCAAAGTGGCATAAAAAACAAAGATTGTTGTTTTTTCTCTTTTAATAAAGTAATGTATGCTCAGTGTAGCAAAAATTGGAAAGCCGAAAAGAAAACAACAATAGCAACAACAAAGGACTACAAAGAATATCCACAATCACCCCTTTTAATGATAAGTAGCACAGGGTGCTGTTTGTCTGTCTATACTAGATATCTTTCACCACTCACTGGACTTGCTATACACCTTTCCGCCACTCACTTGGACTTGAAACTTGTGCCATCTTTTCTTCTTTGACCCTCCAAGTCAGATAGTGATTATTCTTCTCCTGTCACTGCTTTAGATCAAGGGCAGCACTATTATTACTTACCTATATAATAGCCACCTGTATAGCTCTAGTCTCTTCTTCCTGCAGTTATGTGTACCAAGGTCAAGTTCATCTTCCCAGAACATCACTTTGGCGGCTCCACATTGTCTATAGATTGTGCATATCATGAAAAGAAGAATTAAAGCAGTAGGGATGAGGTGATGGAAGGTTGATGGCTAGAACGAGGATGGATTTCAGGCCATAGAGCCATTGGGGGCAGAATTGGTGGGGTCCTAGCAAGTAAGAAGTGACTGGAGTCCTTGAGGCCTGACCAGGTCTAAAGGAAACCCAGGATCCACTTCATGGTGGCTTCTTGTCATGAATATAGTTATTCTCATTGAGGGTTGAAATGGTACTTAATTTTTTTTTGTTTTATTTTACTGAATTTTATTTAAAAAGTCATTTTAAAATTTGAGGATTTGAGAGGTATAAGATTTTTCCTGGGAGAATTTATTCATTCACTTGATAAGCAGAGGGATTTAGGGGTAAACAAAATGGATCAATTTTCACGCTTATGGAATCTGATAGTCTGGTGGGATAATTATTTAATCACTGTTCTGATAAGTGGTCTGAAGGGGTGCTAAAAGAAAGTCATAACAGGCCACCTACCCTAGCTATAGTGTAGGGGTGAGGACACGGTGTGGACAGCGGTAACCTGGCATGGCTATAGGTTACAACATGTGGGCCCATGAAAGGATGCATATGCTAAGCTAAAGGTTAAGAGTGATGGTTCCTTATATTTGTCAATTTGTCAAGTCAATCTTTGCAGTTTAAACACCACAGTGATTCTGTCAAATAGGTGAGGAAACTGGGCCCAGCAAAAGTAAGCATGGTGTCCGGTGTATAGTGGTTGTTCAGTGAAAGTGGTTTGGTGTTAAGCAGTCACTGGCATTAATACTGGAGCCCTCGCTCACCTGAAAAGTTTTTGAGAAGAGCTCCTTTGTAGTAAGGCTTAGAGCCCTTTCCTTCTTCTGATGATTCACCCTAGGGAATCCTGCAAAGCTTTCAAGTCGTTGAGAGCCCCCATGCCCTTTTTTTTTTTTTCTTTCACTTTCTTAGATTCTGAGATGGAAATTTCCAGAGGGATATGCTGACCCTACTACTCCTGGGCTGGAAATCACGTTTATTCCCTCAAAGGAAGATTCTCATCTTCTAGGCTGGTGTACTAGAGTAGTCTTCAACTTGGCAAGGTCAAGACTGTGACTGCAGCCTGGGTTTCAAATTATTGAGTTCCGCTATTTTTTTTCCAACTGTTTGAGAATTCAATTAAAAAGTATATGATCTTAATTTCCTCTTTGAAAAAAACTCAGGTTTTAACTTCCACCATTCCCCACTCCTTTTGGTTTCTCATGCACAGCTATTAATTAAATCCTCTCTCTTCTCTCTCTCTCTCTTTTTAAGTTTGTTTGGAGAGAGAGTGAGAGTGTCTGCACAAGTGGGGGGGGGAGCAGAGAGAGAGAGAAGGATAGAGAGAGAATCCCAATCATCCTCTGTACTGCCAGCATGATGCCCAGACTGATGATAAGGGGCTCAAACTCATGAACCCTGAGATCATGACCTGAGCCTACATCAAGAGTCGGATGCTCAACCAACTGAGCCACCCAGGCTCACTGCCCCCATCTCTTCTATCTTGAAAAATAACTGTCTTATCCCCTTATGAGTAGCCATGTCTTCTTCACAACTCATCTGGACTACTATAGCAGCTTCCTTATACCCATACCTTCATCAGGCTCCTCTCCCTGCCCCCCACGCCCATCACTTTGTCATCCATAGACATGAGACTTTGCAGCATGGCTTCATTCTCCAGTCAGATATTCTCCAGTTTGGCATTCTTCGGTGGATCTCCATCACTTTCAGAATTAGAGGCTAAACTTTTTACGATGAAATTTGAGCTCACCCATTCCAGTCTCATATCTTATACCTCTGACTCTTGACCATTCCAGATACAGTGGCTTCAATTCACCCACCTTCCCCTCTGTGCTGTGGCTCATATGATTGCCACTGGCTAAATACACTTTCCTCCTTTTTACTTAGATGATGTCTATGGATTCTTTGTCACAAAACCCATCTCACCCCCTTTATGAAGTGTCTGCTTGAGCCCATGTGTCCCTGGGAGGCAGTGTTTCTTTGCTCCCATAATAGCCATGCTTATCATTTTAGATTAGAAGCCCTTCACTTCTGCATTACAATGTCTTTTTCTTCCAATTTATGACCCTAGGTCCCAGCATAGTCCTTGGTATTTAGTAGGTCCTCAATGAGTGTTTGTTCATTAAAAAGTTTTTCAGCCAACTATTTCAACATTGCTTTAATTCTAAGATATACTGTTGATCTAAACATTTCTCCAATAAAACAGAAAATAATGAATTTGTTTATGCTTGAAAGACTTCATAGTTTTATGAATATTAACAATTAAA